GGCGCCAGCATCTGGCATTTTGTCAGCTGCTATCATAAGGCAAACTGATATTATTATGAACTGCCTGGCTAATTGTGAGCACAGGCTCAGATCTGTGGTAAGTGTGGAAATATTTGGACATAACTAATATAATTTAATATTCATTTATATTGCATACTTTGTGGCGTTTAATGCAACAACCGAAATGAATAGTTGGCAAATAATATTAGAATAACTCAAATTAAATATCTTATATATATATATATATATATATATATATATATATTGTGCTTGAATTAGGCACAAATAAATTATCATTTGCTTTACACAAAACAACATTTCAAAGTACTTTCTATAATTGCTAAACTATGCAATTAATATTCTGTGTAATTAATATAAAGTACTTCAACTAGCTTTGAAACCGAATGCACATTAACTGGAAGCAATAATACATTTTTGACCATTTTATATAGTTAACAGATGAATTTTAAGCACAAGTCTTAACTTAAATATTTTGCTTAATATTATACCAAATATAAAGTTAATATAAATGAAATATAAAAATGAAAAATGATACAGAATAAATATTAACCAGTCAGCTAAAGTTTTTAAAAGGGTGTTCTACAATTAATTATTATTAAGCACATAAAGAATAATTTTTTTAATTAATTTAATAAAATACTTCAGCATACATATGAATATTTCAGTATGAGTATTTGTTGAATACTCTTAAAAGAAATTTCTGCGGATTATTTTATATTTTTGCCATATTTATTCCCATTTTTATATGTTCAACAAATTATATACATTTTCAATATGTTTGAGCTTGTTTAAGTATTATTAATAAAAACTTTATAAATTAATTAATATGGCTTCATGCGTCCAAGCACTTGACTATATTAATTCTTCGCTTGATGAATGAACTTACAAGCTGGAAAATAAAACAAACCTAGAATATTCAGCTCTTACTTTAATTTACGCCTCTCCTGCTGTGATATAACTTGAGCGACTCTAGTTTCTATTACAAATTCAGCTCATCAACCATTTTTGAAATCTATCTGGTTTCTTGTTATCTAACATTAATTGTCCTTTGTATTCATATTGCGTATTTCCTCTGTTTATTTTTATCTTTTTTTTCTATTTTTCTATACATTTTTTCATTGTTAATCGTATCCAATTACTATAACCGACTGCAAATAACTTTTTAACAAGCCATCCTTGGCACATTGAACCAAGCAACAAACAAACAAATAAATAACTGAAAAAAATGGTTTAAATCAAATATTCGTTAACTTTTCTCACGAAGCTTTTGTTATGTCATGTCCGAGCCGAGTTCAGAGCCAAAACCCTTTGAAAGTTCAATAAAAAAAAACAAAAAAAATTTAGTTTTAACTCTGAATAAAGTTGGAAATAATTGTGAAGAGCTTTGTGAAGCGGCAGGGGCCAGCAGAGGCGACGAGACGCGCAGTCGAGACTTTTTAATGGGCCGACTACAAACTGCATTCGATATACGTGCGAGACTTGGGCTTTGTTTTGTGCCATTCGCTGGGGTTTTTGACCGATGTTTCACCAAAATTTATTGAGGGACCTGACACCAGGGAAATGGGGAATAGGGAAAGGGGTGGATGACACATTCGTGTTGAACGTTAATTTGATGTCCTTTGCTGCACTGTGTTGCACGCAATGTAAATGCTAATTAAGAGCGTTACATGCCGCTATATGGGCGTGCCAGAGATGGCTGTGTGTGTGTGTGTGCAGGGGCGTTTTTGAATTGTGTTTGCTTCTTAATTGCGTAAACCAAGCATTTGATTAGTATTTGCACAGCAATTGACATTAAACAGTTCAATCAATAAAAAATTCAAACGGAAACGGACTCAAGTGTGAGACAGCAGCAAATATTTAATGTCTTAAGGGGTGTCAAGAGTGGTGCCGTACTCTTCATCGAATATAACTCCAATATTCTTATGAACACAATCAAAGTTAGGTCGGTCGCTCGGTCGGTCGTTTGGTCGGTCTGTCGCTTGTTCGGGCATTGGCCCCGACAGTCAGAAACCTCAATTAGGCTGTCAATCAGCGCGTCGAGGCGCGTCACTCGCTTCCACAATAATAGAGCTATTGATTTTCCGCATGGTAATACCCACATATACATATTCCGTTTCGTACGCCGCCCTAATGAGCTTCGGGGCGTGCATTGACATGGGCACGGCCCTGGAACGTCTAATTAGTTGACGGTTTAACATTGCCGGCGATTTGATTGCAAATTTAAGGCGAGCACAAAGATAAAGAATTCTAAAAATTATTAACAAAAATATTGAAGCGTACTTCATGCAATTCATATAAAGCGGAAGTTGTTATAATTCTAAAATTGCCTAACGAAGCCTTAAAAATGTTGTGCTCGAAAGGCACTGTTAAATCATATTCAACTTAAACATAATTTGAGTGCTTCATGAGCTTGGCTTTAACAGTCCTAATTTGAAGTCTCTGTATAAGTCTTGCTGTATTATACAGATCTGTAGTTATGGCTCTATATATTTTAAATTTCCAATATTTTATGTTCTTTATTCTATATTCTATTTATAGCCTAAATGTGGAGCTACTCAGTCGTTATTTTTGTATATGAAACAAATTTTTCCAATACCTTTGGGACACATTAGTTCAGTTACCCTAAGCCAAAGTTAATTTCCTAAATATAGCGCATAATAGCTTCGGCTTGACCCAATCTCTTGCATATGCCTCCAATTCTCCACAGATCTACACAGCTAGTTATAGGTAATGCTTTGCTGAGTGGCTCTCATTTGAAGTACTCGGCTGGCTCTCGCAAGGTTGAGGCGACGCCGCATCAGCTTTTAGCTTATTAAATAAATAAACAAAATAATATTGCAAAAAAACATAAACAGTTCAGATTGTTTGTGTTGCAGCGGAGCTCACTCTTGGAGCTTGGTAAGTGAGTGCAGACATCGATTTATATATTTATTGTAAGGTATATATTATTAACTATTATTATTATATAATTATATATTTATATTTACATTTGTAAGTCTTGAAATTTTAAATGCATTTCTTTTAAGCGTAACTTGGCTAACACAAAAAATAATAATAAAAAAAATAAATAGTAATTGAAAGCATTAAGGCATTGTTCAAAGAGAAGAGTAGAGTAAATAATATATTCAACAAAAATATGCCTTTGCCCAAAGTCTTGAATATATAATAAATTGTGACTAAGTTCATCAACAAAAGCTCTTGAAATGCAAGACTCTCAATGCATATCAGGCTGCTGCAGACGCTTGTGTACACACGCACACACACGCACACCTACACACATTTAATTTGTCACTCTTACAAGCTCACACAGTTAGCTGTGCTTTGCTAGTTGTAAGAAAAACCAATAATGGGAATGAAGTTGTACTTGTAGCTACATTTGCAGCATCCTTATGTGTGGGTGGATGGGTTGGTGGGTTGTCAGGCGGCGCCCTTTATCGATTAGCGCATGTAACTGTTTCTACCTATGAGTGTGTGCACTTGGCCCTTTAACTTATATAAGCTAATGGATTGTTGGACATACTCACAGAGAGAGGGAGAGGGACGTGGAGAGGCAGTTCGAGGTTGCTTTTTGGCGGCTGCTGTAAATGAAAACAGGAAACGTTGTCGCATTCATTCATTCAGTTAACACACAAAAGCCATTAAAGCGCTTTGTTTCCATTGTTTTGTTTGTCAACAGCAACATAAACGTCAAAAGGGGTGCGGGCTGCCAGTAGCCAATGGCCCAGCTTAAAGTCAGTTCAATCAATTTTTTTAAAGCCTCGCCTAATTTATGGAATTGCATGGAGCTAACTGTGAACTTTCACTCAATATTTCTCGCTTGTTTCTGTTGTACCTCAATATTTTTATTGTTGAAAGACTTTGGCCTGAGCTTTTACGTCCTTCCTTCAATTTTTTTGTTTGGTTTTTTTTGTAAAGTGCTTGCGCCGCTTTCCTTTCGACTGTCTCGACGGCCAGCGCTTGGCAAAAAAGCGAGTCTTGCGGAAAAATCAACATTGCACAAAAGTTTTCCAGCCCGCCCGCTGCCAGCAGCCGCACACTCAACCCACCCAGCTCTCTTCTCTCTTCTATATCTTTTTTTTTTGTTTTGGCTTAGCGTTGATGATGTATGCACTTTGAAAAGAGTTGAGCAAAGTGGTTTTTCGGGTTTGATGAGCTAACGTCAGCCATCTGCACCACCCACTGGAAATATGAGTGCTCTCTCCCTCTCTCTTTCCCATTGTGTGGGTGTGTGTGTGTGTTTGCATTTCGTTGGCTGTATAATAAAGTTATTAATGGACTTCAATGGCGTTTCAATTATGCAATTTCTGCTATTTGAATTTAAATGATATTTTGATTGTTTGCTTTGGCGGCATGGGTTATGGTTTTTCCAAACTCTTTGGCTGACTGGGCGATTTGTTAGCAATAGTTATAGAATTTCAAAGTTTCACTTCCGTTTTCATATAAATTGAACTTTAATCTATAGTGTAAAGGAAATTAGTTGGAGCTGCAAGCAAAAGTTGAAATACTCTTATAAATATATATTCATATAGCTGTTATAGATGCCATCGTTTATATTATATTGTTATGAACAATTGGATGCAATTCGAAGACAATTTAAACTCGATAACTTTCGAGCTTAGAGATTTGATATCGATATATTTATTGAGATTGATGAAGGGCCATGAAGAGTATTAAACTTTCTTGGTCAAATGAGACAACTTTCAAGAGTAAAAATAACTTGTATGACTTTGTCTTGCAACGCTTTCAATATGAAACTAAGTTCTTATGTTCTTATGTATTTTGGCAAAGAGTTAAAGTTAATTTGCTTAGCAATTACTTTTTGAACATTTTCAACTTTCAACTGAATATCAATAAATATCCCGCAATAATTACCCAGTATAAAATGTACCCATATGCTAAGCGATATATATCGTATGCATAGCTTTTATATATACTCATAAATATACTATGTCTTAGAATGGCAAACACAAGTACCTGGTCACACCGAAAGCAGGAGCAATTTGCTCGAACTTGCTGGAAGTTCTTAAAGTTTTTGTCAAGAAATACGTTTTCACTTAAAAAGAAATTTTAATTTTTCAGTTACCATTTCTAAGATGAAACATAAAGATCATAAGAAAGTGAAAAAGCCAAAAAGGGATAAACATTCCAAGTCTCATCGAGATGGCTCAAGGAAATCCAAGAAATATCTGAAATCTAAGGAAAATGAATGGAAGGAAGAGGAGTTAAATACGAATAGAGAGCTGGAATGCAATAGAGTTTATACGAAACCGCCCATTTCGGACTTCGATGTGCTCAGCATCTATGCGGATATATCAAAGCTGTGCGCTATAGAGCGTTTTCTGAATATGCTCTATCGGTAAGTCTTGTCTGATACACTGAAGTAGTGTTCAACATATATACATTTATCCTTTTTAGTCCTTTCACTTGCTTTGTGCGCACGAATTGCGCTTTTAAGCTCTCTGAATTGGACTGCTTTCTGTCGGACACGCGCTACGAGCCGGATAAGCACTCGGCTCTGCTCATACGGCTCTCGAGTCCGTCGTGCAGCTTACGGCTTTATGATAATGGCAACATCTGCTGCAAGGGCTATTCGTACGATAGTGCCGCTCTAGGCATACATCGTTTCATTGGCACCATGGAGCATCTGGGCTATACGCCCGTGTTTCAACATCCCCGCTTTAACGTGGTCAATGCGACATTCTGTATGCCTTTCTCGATCAACTTGGCCCAGCTGCACTTGGAGTACTGCGAAGATTGCCATTACAGGCCCGAAACACATCCATATCTAATATACAAGATACGCAATTCATCCATTAAGTTGGCCATCTTTGCCGTTGGCTATATCTATGTAATGCTGTCGTCGCAGCCGCGCTACACCCAGAAGGCGATCGCTTTTATAATGCCCATACTATTTCGGCACAGAGCTGGCCAGAGATCCCTTGATCCAGAGCTGAGCATCGGCGACATCAATTTCAAATTGCTGTGGGAGAATGAATTCCAGAAGGCATACCAAGGCGTACTTAAATATTCCTGATGAGCTGTAACCATGTGCAACATTGTTGATGTTAGCTCTTCTGCTTCGTCTTTTTGCTGTTGCCAAACTTTTGTTTTTCATACATGAAAATAAAACTTTTTTATATATAAGCTGCATATCCGGTATATTCTCATAAATGTCGAAATGCACCGCTCGGAGTACAGGAAAACTTTTTCGGTTTAGTTATTTAAATGACAAGAGCCGTTGCGCCAACACACACATACATATATATTAAAAAAATTTAAATATGTGCATAGCTAATTCCAAGAGAAAACAAAGAAAAGCTTAAATTCAAACCAAATAAAACAAATTTTTTTATATACATATTTGAGCTATATATATTTATACTCTATACTATTTTGTTTTAGACTGTGTATCCATTGAAAATGATAAAAAAAAATATATATTTTAGGTTAATACAAATGCATAAAACAAGCCAGAGGCGAGACTATCCCAAAGAGAGAGAAGTTGATGTGGCTATGCACGGTTGTCTATGAACTCTAAGCGATTACATGCTTTAGCTTTGTTAAGTAAACCATTAAACTATTGATATATGATATATAATACATATGAGATATATAGCTATATATTTCTAGCTGAATTTTTTTAATAATTCATGTTTTTGATAATTTTTCTCGCTCTCAAATTAAAAAAACAATAAAAATTGAATTTTATATAAAAGTATTTTTATATTAATTAAAAAAATACTGCCATAAATAGCGCATTATTTGCCAGTCCTCTGAAGGAAGAGAAGAAGTGAAAGCCCAAGCATAACGAAAGTTGTGCCAACTAAACAAACAGTCTAACGCATTGCCTAGTCAAGAACGAGCGCATCTCATCTTTTTATTTTTATCAGCAATGTCAGTTGTTTTTCACAAGTCATTAGCTCCATTTGCATACACACACAGGCACACACACTCGCATATATAAATGTCAACCCGTTTAAGGGGTTGCGGTGCACAAACACTAAAAATCACTCACGAATTTACAAATTTACAAATTTACAATGTAAATGCGAGTTGGAGCTCATCGAAGTCGATGTTTGCATTTGGCAGACATAAAAATGAATATGACGGGAGGTTGGGATTGAGGTTAGCGAAAACCATCAGAAGGTCGAATCGTAACGTAAATGTGTGAAATGAAATTTGAAACTGTCGTTCGTTTCAGCTGCTGTCCATTTCAAACCTATTGCATTCGAATAGTTTTTTGTCAGCGTGCAAAAACAATTCAGTGTCATATTTGTGTGCATTTGTCTGTCTCTCCCTCTCGATCTGTCCCACTATATATGTACATGTGTGTTTCGCAAACACACACACACACATACAATCACATAGACTATTCGCTTGACGATATTGCCGCCGCGGTTGCCATATAAGCGGATAATTTTCAACATTTTCAACATTTTTGTTTGCAATTGTTGGTCGCTTCCAACGGGACTTTCCTGCTTTTGTTTGTGTGAAAACATTTTTGGGCCGTTGACGGCTTTTCGCGTGTTTTTCGCTCTGTTTGAGTAGCTTGTGGGCTGTTGGGATTACTCATTAGAGCCGTTTGACTGTGCGTGTGGGAAGCAAGAATGATCGAAGCAGAAGAGCATGACTAAGAGTTACCCTAAACTTAAAATATTTGTATTTATTTTATTTATAAATTTATAATCATATAAATAATTTTTAATGATAGCCAAGGATATTTACTCAGGTATTTGAGGTTAAAAAATGAATGCAGGGAATAAAAATATCCCAACCAGTGCATATGTCAAGCTCTTTACATATCGATACTAAGATATCGATAGCAATCGCTCCTACTTGCTTAAAAGTATGATCACCATCAAAAGTGGCCAGACTGAATTTTCTTTTAGCTTTGTAATTAATTTACATCATAATAATTGGAAGATGCTCGGAAAAATTCTTGTTTTTAATGAATTTGTTACATTTTTGTATAAAAATATTTGAGCTCAAAGCAAATTAACTATAAAATCTGCTTATTTAAATTGCAAGCACAGGAATGCAAAGCTCCAAATGCAAAATATAATTAATATTCTTTGGTGTGTGGGTGCTGGAGTGACCATGCCTTGTTCTGCTACTTGTTGTTGTTGTTGGTTGGTTGGCTAAGCATTCCTGCAGCAGCTTTCTTGTTATTGGAAAGGGGCACAAATTTGTGTGTGTGTGTCTGCATTTTCATAATTTCTGCACAACAAAAAGCGAAGACCACGACAATAGCGCAAAAGGGACGAAACGAACGCAGCAAATTCCAAAGCGCTGGAATTTATGCAGCAAATATTAACTTACCACACAGACGAACGCACACACACACATAAATTGTGTGCAAAATTTCTCATGCAATTCATGTAAAACGCAGCACAGGGCAAGAGATGGAGAAAGAGAGAGAAAAACCAAAAGAAGTATGGAAGGGAGCGGACAGGGGGAAAGTTGCAACAGCCGCTGCCCAATTTGTGCATGGGCCAGCAAGAACTGACAACAAAACTCATTAGCAGAAGCGGCGACCGTGACCGAGACGGCAAGTATGCCGTTAGAATTGTGGGCATGGGCGTGCAAATGTCTGATGGGAATTGAAGGGAGGCAGGGTAGAGGATGGGGGAGGGTGTTGCTACTGGTCAACCGAAGCCAAAACGCAGCATGCACTTCCGTCTCTGAAAGTTTTCGCTATTTTATTCATATTTTTACTGGGCCGCTGCTGCACTTTATCTTTCTGTGGCGGTCTTAGTTGGCGAAATTGTGTGCAACCACGAAAATCTAATAAGCGCGCAAATTTGTTGACATTGCGCAAATGTTTTTTACGAGCAGCGCTCGCAAGTCCAGAAGCCTAAGAGTAAAAACTTAGCGACCCCCGTTACATTACGCCCCCTTCGGTCTCTGGCAGCCGCAAATGTCCATTAAAGAAGTCGAAAGTCGCACTTAAAGCGCAACGGATGAAGCGGACTGCAATGACAAAGTGCAAAGACAAAGATAGCGAGAAAGTGAAAATGTCAGCGAGAGCGGGACAGAGCTTGTGAACGAACTTGACGTTTTTGACTTTGCTAAGTCGCGTGCGATGTTGCGTTAACTTTTTGGCTTTTGCGCTTTCAGCCAAGGATGGCGAAAGAAGTGAACGAAAGCTCGTATCAAAGTCTGTCAGGTAGCACAACAAAGATGGCGTCAGAACAGCGCTGCAAGACCATCAGCTGATATGTCAGCGGATAGCCACAGTCCAGACAAGACAATTTCATTAACCGCGGCGGGCAGCAAGCACGTTAAGTCGAACAGACTTGCCTTTGATTTGATCAACCGAAGGCCTCCATGCATGCGTATACATATATATATATATATATAGGAAGACTGCTTTCTGCATAATGGACGCGTAAAGTTTTTTAATTATTTTTGTGGTTTTAAATTGCATTTCTCGTGAATCTGTGCAGAGTAACGATGAACGACTCGATGTCCGTGTGAGAAGTACGACCACAAAAGCGCCGACTTTATCAGCGCCGGGCAATTGTCATCTGAGCTGGGTGACTCGGTCCTGCAATGCCAGAGCAATGCATTCATTTAAGCAAAAGTGCAATAACATGTTATTTTATTTCATGTTTTTACCAACTCCGCTTTTCGCCATTGCCCTTTCATGTCGCCCGTTAACAGCAAGCGGCTTTAAAGCATTCCGGCCTTATTACGCAATTACAAGTGGATTGACACACAGAGCGAGCCTTCGCTTTGTCGTTGCATTTACTCTTCTTTATATTATTGAGGCAAATATACGAATAATTGAAATTACATACGACTCGGTCCGTACAAAAATCATGGTCAATTGGTATGGATAGCATTTGGAAAATATAAATATAAATATACGTCGATTGCAATTAAGGTATGCACATATATACATATGAATATTGAAAAATGTCAAGGAAATGGGCATTTGAGTTCATTTTTCAACTTTAAGCTTGAAAAACTTAAGTATATTGACAAACTTGCAAAAGTGCGCTCGGCAGGCGTGATAGACTACAAGATACCCGGACTTTTAGCTATAATTTTTTTTATGTGTACCAGACTGACGGACAGAGCTAATGATTTTTTAACATCACCTGGAACTTGTATGTCTATATCTATATAATTATGTTCTTTATTAGATATATCTAACTAGTATACCCTTCATTTCGTTCAGTTGCTTTTTCCATTTGACCATCTACCATCTACCTCAAAGACCACATTACATACCAGGCATGCATATATGCATATCTATACAGAGAATATATATATAATGCTTGATAGAGGAGTTGATGAAGTACTTAATTTATTGCAAACTTTTCCAACTGAATCAAAAGCCAATTGCAACTCTTTTAATTAAATATTTATTATGTAATTAGCCTCACACAGTGCATAAAGTTTTGCTGGCGTTCCACTTGCAAATCAATTAGCTGATATGTTTGCCTACAAAAAGTGGAAATAGCATAAAGAAAAGCTGATGAAAAATTTTTGCTGCCGCCTGTCAAAAGTCGTTGCAAGCCCGAAACTTTGCCCGTTCATGCATTTCGCTTAACACTCGGCCAAAGGCGAATGGCATACGCCCTCCAAACATGGCAAGTGAAGTTGTTACGAAGGCTCACATCAATTTAAGCCAAAAAAGTGGGTTAGGGATGCCAAACATACACACATGCATATATATATATATATATATATATATATATATATAAATATGTATATATATATTTTATATGGATAAGTTACCAACACGATTTCAATTTGCCTCGTTGATAAACGGCAAAAGAATTAATTCAGCCAGCTCATACAAAATGCCTAACATTTTTTTTATCTGTACTTGAGGTAAAAATATTTTCACTTTTTAGCTCCGATTCCACACACACACGTATATATGTGTGTGTATATTTATGTAGAAACAAAGTTGACTTTCTTTTGACTGTGCCAGGCACCGAAATGCGCCCAACTCGCCTTCGTCTTCGTCTGCTGGGGCTACGTCCCCTCAGGCCCGTCTCAGTCATGTGACTTAACTGTACTAAATAGTTTCTCACGTGACTCTAGCACATAAAAAATGGCTTTATTGCTGCACACGTATTCATTAATGGCAGCAATGAACTCACATGTGAATCGAGTGGGTCGAGCTGGGCTGAGCTGTGCCAGCTTCAAGAATGCCAGCTGAAGGTGGTGGGAAAGGGTTATCCTACCCACCCACACACAAAAACACATCCACACACACACACACATAAACTG